TTGATATATATTGCAAAAATCCATAGAATCGAGGCGGGGGACCTCACAATTCGACCCGAAGTTATCTTGGCAGCCTCAGCCAGTTTAGCTTATGACTATTACTTGTTTTCCATCCCTACCAAAATAACTCCTTGGTCACTACTGGAAACCGGGTCCAGCGTCCCTTGCTACCCCAAAGGGGCTTTCCAAAATTGAATCATGAAGCACAAGGTAAAAATAGAAGGCTTTAAAAACSATTGCTAGTCCAGAAACTTGAGAAAGCCTAACTATCCCAAAACTCGATACATCTGAGGATCTAAACCGATCCCCTACTGACTGGGCTTATTTGAGCCATACAGCCAGTGTTTAAGATTCAGAGATCCATCAGAGGACAGGGAAGMGAAACCGTCTTCTCGCGCCCAGGATCTGAGAAACCATGTTTTGCCTGGACTCCTTCTTTCTGAGGATCGTTTCCAATCAGCTTTAATCATCAATCTCACTGATGAAAGGATCTGGGTCTGTTGCTGGGCGAACGACGTCTTCACCTTCTTAAATACTACATTTCTTGCTCTCCATATTTCCTGCAGTAACACCCCTCTGCAGACCAGAGCCACATAACCCCACCCATCCGCATAGTTAAAGCCTGAGGCAGGAAATAAAGCAAAGAGTACCCAGTCTTCTGTCCATACAAAGGAATTAGTGGTTTGACGCCATAATTACTGCCAAACTTTGTCCGCCAGAGGGCAATGGACCCAGAGATGGGCATTGGACTCCCAACCCCAATCACATCTGGAGCAAATGTCTGGAATCTCCAAGCCTCTGGATCTCAACCACGTGGCAGTGGGAATCACTTGCAGGCTTTGAAGCCATAGTAGGCTGGCCTGGCCTTGTGAAGGTAGTTTTTTKAGGGCCGACCATAGTGACSAYCAGTTGGRGGGGGGAACGGACGAGCCTTTCCTGTTCTGAAACCTGCGCATGGCCATGTCTGTTGGTGTGTTCAGAGTTCTGGATCTCAGGGTTTTCATTCCCACCCTTGGAGCGTACCTACACAACGGAGTAACTGACTCACCACCCTGGTCCCCATATCTCCATCCCCACAGGAGGGGTTCCACTCTGAAGCAGTCTGCATCTCCCAATAACACCGTCTGCTTTGGAGCCGACCACACCCTGACTTCCTCCTGACCCAAAGTGGATCTCAAGATTAATTTTCAAATGGGACGGGTTCTACTTACCGCGCTGGTTTGTCCCACTTCCATCTCACGAGGGGCGGGTCCAGTCTTCCGCAGTAGTGCCAGGCCCCTGATGGTCCGTACTAAGCTCGTACTAAACTCGCACGTGGTCGTAATAGCGGGCTTGGGTCCTTGGTAAGCTCGAAGGCTGTCGTGATAGCGGTCACGTTTTTATGCTACCTTAGCGCAAACATTGCACGAGCAGGCTGTGGTCCTAAGTAAGGTCGAACTTGGTCGTCATAATTGCGGTCACGCTTAGCACAAGCATTGCAAAAGCTGGCTGTGGTCCTAAGTAAGGTCGAGCTTGGTTGTAATTGCGGTCACGCTTAGCACAAACATAACTTGAGCAGGCGAAGTTAGGTCGAACTTGGTCGTAATTGCGGTGACGTTTTCAGGCTAGCTTAGCGGACACATAGCACGAGCGGGTTCTGGTCCTTGAAAGGTTCGACAGGCACCTTTGTCGGCGCGCGCCTTTTTTTTTTTTTTTTTTTTTTTTTTTAAGAGGGCGACGACCTTGAGATATCATCATTGAGCTGACCGGCCCCAGGCAATTCATACATATTTGCTTCTACTCATCAAGTTCCATCGTCTGGATTTGAACTCGGGTCTGCATTTCAACAGTTCATGGGTGTACCCACTGAGCTACGCTTTCGGGTTGCGCGCGCCTTTTCGCGCGACACCCTTGAAGGGCTCTCTCTGTGGCTGAGCGGAAGAAAGAATCCGGCGGGTTTGGTGTCGTAAGATACGAGAGGGTCAGCAGCCGTTCGATTCGTATCGATTGACGCCAAAGTTCAACTCGCCCATTTGTGTTTTTTTCCAGCTTTTTGTTTTTTATTTTATATTGGACGACTTTTGTGAGTTGAAGAGACACTGGAGCCTAATCTGGGTAATAATGGCCCCAGTTATTCTCGGGATTTGTGGGGTTTCGGGCCTCGTTGCACTATTCGCCAATCGCCAACATCTTGATTGCATCTGGACAGCATAGCTGTCCAGATGCATTCGAATTCTTGGTGGATGGTGAGTAGTGCAACTAGGGCCTTCCCGGCCCCTTAGTTTTTTTCTGAAAAATTTGGACCATTTCTCGATTTATGCGTGTCATCCTTGCGCAGGGGCCATGCTAATCTTCTCTGTATCGTTCCAATTTTAAAGGATGTCCTTCGGTTCCTTTCGACATTGGTAATAAAAGTTCTTTGTTCTGCAAAAAAAAAAAAAAAAAACAAAAAAAAACAATTGATGACTCGACAGATCCTTACTGTCTCCACTTGTACGAGCCAACTTGCGCTGAAGAGGCACGACTGGCAGCCGCACGAGCCGCAGGGGAAAAGGCGAAAGCTGTGCGGCGACGCACGAGGCACGAGCCAGAGGCCCTCCGCCAACATTTTGAATGCCTCTGGACGTCAAGCTGCTCAGATGCATTCCGAATGTTGGCGGATGGCTGTAAAGGTGATTGTTGTGTGCGGGGCGACTCATGGCGGACGGACTGTACGCACGCCTGCTGCGCAGGAGAAAAAAAGGAAGTCCATCAAAAGACGGGAGCGCGAGTTTTGGTTACGCCGTGGTACTTGATCGTGCACACGAGAGGCGTTGCGCACGAGCAAGCCCACGATGATCAGCTCTGTTTTTTCGCGTCGTATCGTCAGGCGAGCACGAGTGGGCGATTTTAGTCGCTCGCAGGAGGAGCAGCTTCGGTCGGCGCGCACGTTTCGCAACATTTGGGCCTCGCCCTCTCATCGTTTGTGTGTGCCAGTTCCAGTCGCTTTCTCTCTTTTCAGAGCTCACTGTTTGTCTGCATATACTTCTCTTTTCTCTGCTCACGAATCCGACAACACCGATCTCCCCTCTGTTTTCTTGCCGACACTCGCTTCACGGGACCACAGTTAACGGCTCTCTCTCTCTCTCTCTCTCTCTCTCTCACACACACACACACACACACACACACACACACACACACACACACACACACACACGCACGTACGTACGTCTCTGCCCTCTTCGCCGTCCGGAGTTTATAAATTCAGTGTACTTTGGCAACGGGCAGGTTACTAGGATTGATCAATTCTTCCAAGTGACAAGAATCGGGTGATGCTATGTAGAACGAAGCAGAATCGATATGAGATTGAGTGATAATGAGTCAGTTGGTGGAGGTGGCTGTCGTTGTCGAGGGAACTGGCGTGGGGTGTCGAACTGATGTGGAGCACCAAGATCAAGGGTATGGTAATGTGAAAGGCGAGGGAGGAGAAGGCAGAGCAGCGGACTGTTATTTGGTATTCTTCCCTCATTCCTCCATGTCTTCGGGGGAGTCATTGTCATTTGCTGATTTGCCGGAAGAGATAGTCGCGCAAGTCTTTGCTTGCCTCGCCGACCCCCGCGATGTCTTTTGCGCGGGCCGCACCTGTCGCTCCTGGAGGCGCGTCGCTCACAGTCCCGACGCCTGGAGGAAGGTGGAAATTGGCTGCAAGCTGGGGATCAAAGCGTTTTATGGCAAAAAAGTTGGTGGCGTCTACGGCAACGTGAGGGCGACGATCGCGGGTCGCTATGATTCTTCAGCCTCGGCAAGCGCTTCGGCGGCTCCCGCTGTGGCAAACGCTGCGGCTCCGGCTTCTCCGTCGCCTGCGAGTGGGGGAGCAGGGGCGGGCGCATCGTGTCTCTATCGGTCTTCCAGTCAGACGGGGGTATGTGGCGCGGCAAGGGCGGAAGAAGAGGAGAGGGGGGGGGGAGAGGAAAATAGGTCATCTTCGTCGACGTCCTGTGAGGAGAAGCAGTCGAAGGGGCGGCGGCAACAAGGAGTAGGTGGCAGCAATTCACAAGAGACTGCTGAAGCATACAGAAGAAGTTCTGTATGCTTGCGTGAGCCAGAAGAGAACTCCGCAAGGAGAGTCGGAGTGGAACTGCCGCCCAGTCGCGGGTTTCTTTGCTCGTTCTGCTCCCCTTTCGCCCGTTTCTTGTCTTCGAGAGGCCGAGCTATTCAAGAGATAGCCGTGACGGAGGCTTCGGCGGGGCACGCGGATCCGATATCGTCGCGGGAGATATGTGCACTCCTTGAAGGTTGCCCGAACCTGAGGAACGTGCTGCTTTATCACGTGCCCAGCTGGACAGTCGCTGACTACCAAGCCTGTTTGCGCACGCTTGCGGCCAATTGCAGGCAGGTGGAGCTTCTGCTGATAGACTCCGAATCCATGGACAGCTCTTTGCTTCTCAAGATCCCTTCCCTTCGAGGTTTGATGCTTTCTAATTGGTGTCGGACGCCGAAGAACGACCAGCCAATGTGTGACGAACTCTCGAGGTTCCTCCTCTATCACCATGGACTGAAGCACCTCGTTCTGAGAGTGGAATCCGTGCGAGAATGTCACCTGGACCTGCGCTCACAATCACTTGTGAGTCTCAACATGTCCAAGAGCCGAAACATCATCGTGCGTAGTGCCACTTGCCCGTATCTCAAGGAATTTGGAGCCAGAGGGTTCCAGTCAGAGGGTGGATCGCGCGCGCTCAAGGAGATGGAGAGCGTTGTGAAGAAGGGTTGCCCCAATTTGAAGCTCTTCGTCCACTAGCGGAATAGTAGTACTCTCGTGTCTCCCTCTCCGTCCGATCGCCGATCGCGTTGACGAGAGAGTGGGAACCGTCTAGAGAGCGACGGACGGGACCCGCGAGTAGCTAGCTCGAAGCTCGAGTGGGTCGATGATGAGGAGGGTGAGGGATGTTATCAAGATGAGGAGGCGGGAAGAGAGGAGAGGGAGGCTCTTTTGGCCGAAGAGAAGAGAGGGAGGAGGAGGGGGAGAGGGAGGAGGAGGAGGAGAGGGTCTGAGAGAGAGAGAGTTGGCATCAGGAAGAAGAACTTGTTGTCAGCAGCGAGCGGCGAGAGGATAAAGCCTCATCTCTTCTCTTCTGCTCTTCCTCTTGGTCTTGCTTTGCTACGAGCCCAGCCCCGATTCCACAAGAATTTGGAGAGAGCTCTTTCGCTAATCTATCGGTGGTGATTGCTATCTGTGATTGCGCGTAATCGCTGCTGAGCTAATTATCGGGCGGTCTGCCAGGTTTACCTGGACGGATCGAAACGGAAAGTTGCCCCAAATAAAGCGGGTTCTTGGTCGAAAATCGAGAGGAGAGAGGAGAGAGAGGAGGTCAACCATTGTGGCACTCCACGTGTCACACATTCCTCGTGCTTCAAGTGGTCGGAGCAACCTGCTAGCCAGCCAACCTGCTAGGTTGGCAGTCGTCTTTCTGGCCTCTATAAGGCCTGTCAGTCGGGCCTGTATCAGGCCGCCGCGTGATGCATGTTCAACCAATGGAGAGCGAAGCGAGATTTGCATACATGGTTAGCGTCGAGCGTCACTCCTTGTGGCCGACGACTGACCAACTCAGTCGGTATGGCCACCAGCAACTCGCCGGAATGGCTTACGCAGTCCAGTCAATTTATGCCCCGCCGTAGTTGGGATGGGAGGAGGAGGGGGAGGACATCCTCCGAGATCCGGGGGGGAAGTGAGATGGTCGGGTCTGATTTCGTACAACGGTATTACCCATTTTACCCTCTCACGGAAGACGAAAGGCGGACGCGAAATAGCTCATCGTCTCCGTCTCTCGATGACAAGAGTGGAGGAACTCGCAGCTTAGCTTAGCTGAGCTGCTGCCTTCCCCGTCGATGCATACTCGGGATCGTTCTAGTTGATGTGAAAGACATTTTTCGGTTGTAACTGAAAGATGATCGCGGTTATAACTGAGAGGTACCTACCAAGTTGTGGCTGTGGATGTAATTTGCCAATTTGCCCCCTTGCTCCACGAGGTGCAAATTTCATGTCCCACAGGTTCAGATTTCATCAGTTCAGAAATACTGATCGATGGAGATAGGACACTCACGGCGCGAAAAGCACTTATTCGTGGATGATGTGCTAGTCAATCCTTGGATCCTCTTTCTGTAGGCGAGTGATAGTGTTCCGGAGGGTATGACCGCGCATTTGTACGCGATGAGTCGTATTTTGGTCATTGAATTTATCCCTTATCGCTGCGTCTAACGGATTTACTGCAGCGAATACGAAGCGGCTGTCCGCCGAAACCCACTTGTGGAGACAATTGGTTGATTTTCGGGGACCGTGCCTCGCTGTGCATTCCTTGTCCTCCAATCGCTGAGGACGTGCAACGCCGCCAATTGTTTGTTGGTGTCTGTGCAGCAGCACTACGGCATCTGGGCGACGAAGGCGAGATTTAGTGGGAGATAAAGGCACATAGGGAAGGGAGGGAGTTTATGGAGAGTATGGCCGGTTCGCGGGTGAGGGAACACACAAAAAAGCGAATTGATTGTGGGAAGTTACTTTCACACGCCACGCACCAGTCCGCTACTATCTCCACCCGATTACAACGCTTTGGGTCAGTATTATTCTATCTATCTAGCCGGAAAGTTGCCCCGAATACAGCTACAGCTACCTGGCGTAGTGTTGGGCTGAAAACGGGTAGGTGGCAACTTTGGGCATGCCATGCTGCACAAGTTGTTTGTCGCCCTACTCTCGTCCTGAGCAGGATAGAATGCACGGTCATGCTTTCAGTCTAGTGACAGCGATCATGATCGTGGGTTCTGGGTGAGGAGGGTAGCATGTGGGATAATAGATCGACGCGGGTAGAGGCGGGAATGTTTGGTTCCGTGCACTGTCGGGGGGGGAGGGGAGGGGAAGAGAGAAGCGGTTAGTGGACTGTCTCTTATACACATCTAGATGTGTATAAGAGACAGCATTATAGCTGTATTTGGGGGAACTTTTTGTCTACATACGTCGATAATGAGAGGGTGTTCTATTCGGGTGAAGATGGTAGAACAGATTGTATTCCGAGTAATCGTACGGCATCGGATTGGAGATGCCCGATGATTAATTGAATGGGAAAGAAGTGCAGCTACGTCCTCAGGGAGGGAAATGGCCGTGAGGGCACATCCGGTGCGGTGATAAGTGAAGCATGCAGATTTGTTAGAGTGGCGATAGTACGGGTGCTTATCAAACTGGCATATCCATCCGTGGATCCGAGGCGTAAATAAAGCCGGCGGGGAAACTCCGAAGGGGACGCTAGTAGTACGTGTGTTTATCAAACTGTCATCCATCCATGGAACAGAGGCGTGGCGTAAATAAAACCGGGGGGCAAAAACCCCGATGTGCGACAGGGCCGAAGAGTAGTACGAGGGCGGGAAGTACTCCGCAGAACAGACGGGAAATATTGACGGGGAAGATACGGCGGGGTGTGTTTGGGGGGGTAGGGTTCCATGACGGGACTCGTTAGGGGGTGTTAAACCCTGATTGATGCACGGGATCGAAATGCAAAGGCTTTTTTGGTGGGGATGATGGCCCCCCTCGCTAAATCACTCAGCATTCGACATGGATAGCGGTTCGTACTCAGATACATTCGCACTCTGGTCGAACATTTGGAATGTATTGGCACCATCACCACGTCCAGGTACGTTTAGTATGTCGTGCAGTGAAGGGTGGCCGATTGGAGGATTGTTTGGAGGAAAACGTTTCGCAAACCTCGGCGGCAGTACGGGTGTCCAGTTGATGGCACAATTGTTTCCTTTCGGATTGCGTTTTTGTAAAACAGTGTGTTTTTTAATCACGCTGTGTGCATATTTCGACAGTTGCGGTTGGGGTGTTTTTTTTTATTTTTTTTTTTATGTCCCGAAGGACGAGGAGGCATTTGTGGGGGAGTGCGTCGGGATTGCTTGCTTTGCCACGTGGCCAATTCTCTATGGTGTGTATTTGACAGGGGAGGGTTTCTTTTGTGCGGTTTACGTTTTTCCATGTCTTTCCCCCACTGTACCTGACCTGCAAGCTTGTTAGACGTCGGTTTTGTTTTTGGACAATTTCTCGATTTTGCGTGTCACCCTTGCGCAGGCGGCATGCTAATCTTTCTCTGTATCGTTCCAACTTCAATGCATATGTCCCGAGGGGCATCGTGATACATTTTCTATTTGTTTGTGATAGACAGATGTGGCCTACTCGTTATGAATCAGTAAGAAAAAAGAAAAAGTGTACACTGCTCCGTTGTGTCCTCTCTCTTTTTTCTTCGTCGATCGTTGTAATCTGCGTTCCAAGACGGAGACTCCAGGGGCGAGGTTCCAGTAGCAAAGTGGATACAGATGAGTCACGATTTTCTGCATTGCTCCTCAAACACGTCCAAATTCAGACGCTAAATTCAATTGTGTGCCTGTGGGACCTCACCCAAGGCAAGGGGAACTTCGCCCCCAGTTCTAAACATCTGCACTACCCGTAGGAGAAGCCGGGGAGATGCTCTACAGCTGTGTTCGGTCGGGTGCAGAACGACAAGGGACAATGGGAATCTCCGCTGCGCTCACCGAATGTGAAATGGCATGTCGAGTGTATCTTTACACGTTCTAGGAGAAGATACGTCCTCCATTTGCACGTTTGGTGTGGTCCTGCGAGGCCCCATGGCTGGTGCAGAAAGAAAAAGAAAACGCCGCACGGGCGGGTCAAATCTCTTTTGGCGCGTAGGGGAGTCCACTTTTTTTTTTTTTTTTTTTTTTTTTTTTTTTTTTTTGAGAAGACAAAGCTTATTCAAACTGAAATCTTGAGGTCGGGGACCTTACAATTCAACCCGGAGTCACTTCTGGGAGCAGTACCCAGCTTCGCTTACAGCCAAACATGACTGGATCCGAATGGAGACCAAAACTGAAGGTAAACCTCTCCTATTCTATTTTACCAACCAAGTGTGAAAATATCCTTTGCCTCTAACATCCTAAGTTCCCCTAAATAAAGAGGAAAAACCCTGCCTATGTTACCAATGTGCCTATCTAAGTGGTAGTGTTTTAAGTCTAAACTACTGGCATCAGCCCGAGCTATAGTAATCTACCAATTCCGAACGAGAAACCATCCTCCTCTACCCACTCTTTCAGCAACCAAAATGGCCACTAGATTTCTACTGGGTCTGTATATCAGGCGGAGCTTGTGAACCCCAATTCCCCCGCTTCGGACTTAAATAACCATGATGAGAACTGCAGTTCACCCGTGCGTTTACCTGGGCAAGCTGAGCTCCCGTTCCCCATGTTTCCGAGAACCAAACCCTTGACTTGCCTGGTTGTCGCCCTTCTACCTTCCTTCTCCGGTCTGCAATTATTGTGTGTCTAATCTGAGTTTTCACCTTCTGAGTAACTCCAAGAAAGGACTTACGTGTGTCACGGAAGACCTGATGATTCCGATCTTCCCAAATTACTGCAAAGATGATGCCTCTGATTGTCTGGGTGACATACCCCCAGCCCAATGAGGGGGAGGGGGACAAACCAGGCGGCAGAATGCCTGAGATAATCCATTTCTCATGCCCCTGCAGACAGTTTCTGGAGATGCGAGCCCAGTACTTGTCCCACCACCTCCAGATACGGAGCGAAAAGTGGCAGGAGTACTAGAGGTGGTTAGTTGATTCCCAGGCCCACTTGGAGCGAGTACACTTGGTCTGAATGTCCAACCCCTTGGAATGTAGCCATACTGGCGACGCCGTCCCTAGTAAGGACTGTAGTAGCAAAATGCTGGCCAGCTTTTGTGACGGCAGAACCTTTAACTGCTGCCACAAGGCAAGGATTTCATATCTGGACACCAACGGAAGGGCTTGGTCTTCCCGCCCTTTCAATACCACTTCTATTGGCTTTTTCTTAATTTTCTGCTGTAGCAGGGTTGCTACCGTTTTGGTGGAGTAGCAGTGTAGAGAACACAGTCTTGGTTTATTTGGAATCTTCCAACCGAACCTTAGTTGGATGAACTGGCAATTCTTTAAGAGATTATCCACCTGCAAGTAGCTGTACCTGAGGTTTAATCTCGCATTGCTGTGGTAGTTCTTGACGGTTGAGACCCACTTTTGGCAGGAGGACGTGCACTACCACTTGCTGGGTACCTGTTAGAGATGGTACACTAAGCGCGTCCCTGAAGCTCAGGAGTCGCGTATACCGTGTCGTGGCTCTCTCCCCATTCCTCCACTGCATATCCCCATGCCAATTCTGGACCAAGAACTATCCAAAATATCTTCTGCGCCCCCCGTTGTCTTTGCTTCTTAACCCAGCAGCATTTCACAGGGATAGGGTCCGCTTTTAGAATCTGCAGCCAGCCAGCAGGTAACCCCATCTGAATATCCAACAGGCGACCAGCCACATTCCGTAACCTTCTGAACTGATTTCGAACCTCCCTGAGTGGCTTCCAATTCATAGTAGCACGGTCCCAAAGGTTGTCTACCCTGATCACCTCCTTCTCTACCCAGGCTGCCCCAAAATTCCCGGGTGAGTTCTGAGCTGAGAATGGAGAGCCAGCAGAGTTACATAGCCTCGGATTATCAAAAATAGGTTGTGCGAATACCTCATCAACAGACTCTGGGTCTCCAAGAGACTCAGGGAGGATCTTAGCCCAGGCATAGGTAATGTCACTCCAAAAGTGTGACTTTGGTCTCTTTTGAGTATAGGATTTCATCATCAGACATGTCCAAACATCTGTCGGGTCTGCCAAATCCCACTCTGTGCTCAGAATGTATTCTGCGAACCATATCCACGCATGTTTGAAATCTGCTACCATGGCTTTAATGTGCCATTTAGCAAACAGGGAGATGTTCTGTTGTCTAGGGTCTAGCACTCCAAACCCCCCATCTTCCCTAGGGGATGCCAGTGACTCCCACACCACTTTAGACAAAAAGACTTCCTCTGCTTTCGCTTTTGGTTTCCACAAAAATCTTGCGGAGGGTGTCTTGATTTTTGTGCAAGCTTTGTCCCCTAGCAGATGAACCATCAACGGGTACCAAAGGACTGAGAGTCCTGCTGAGGCTAGAACCATGGCACGGCCCAACAGGGACAGCCGTCTGATAGTCTTTGACAAGCTTTTTCTTCCAATAGCTGATCCTGTAGCTGTGAGTTGTTGGATAGAGACACTTGGATGCCCAAGTACCTGTTCGAAGCGTCTGTCGGGATTCTCCGCATGACCCAGTTCACACTTATACAAAATTGAGTTGGCAGAAAAAAAACAAATTGATTCAAATTTATTGAGGCCTCCGAAAGAATAGAATAATCATTCAATACCCTGACGTAATGCAAGCAAAGAGTGTCTGTTATTAACACAGGTTACAGTCAAATCATCAGCTAATGCGCCGCCTTTCCATTGATCGTTATCATGTAATTGTAGCCCGTGGATTTGGTCATTTAGTCGGAATGTTATCTAACAGAATTTCCAAGTGCAGTATGAACAGGAGCGGTGCCAAGGGACAGGCCTGT